GGCAGAAAGAAAACTAGGAGGTTCTTCATTCTTCAAAGGGATTGAGAGGATCTTTTCTTGACTAAGTCATAATGGAACCTCTTTGCAGCCCTGATATATTTCCTGATTTCTTTGCCGAGAAAAGCATGAAAATTAACTTACTGTGTTTGGTGGAGATCTTTTAAGGGGTGGGGGGATGGAAATAGTCAGTTCCCAGGGAAGTAAGGATTTGGGAAATGATAATATGAGCAACGCTGCTTGGTTATCAGCCGAGGAACCCACTGGTTTGCCCAATCACTGAAAGAGAGTTTAAAAGGGAAATGAGGAAGGCTGGGTTGCAGGTGGGAAATTGTTCCCGGTTGGAAATTCTTGTGCTCCACCCGCTTTTGTTTCAACAAGTCTTTCTAAACAGGTGCTCAGTGAATCACGATTGGAAAAGGAAATACTTTATGATTGAGGCAAATGCTGAAGGGACTGGCACCACCTGTGGTAGGTGCCATCTTCCTACTGCTGCGAAAACACCAACACCTGAAGGTAAAGATGGAGCTCTCTCAGCCATGCCTAGTGACACAGAATCTTAATCTGTGCACGTTGTAGAAACCCAAATTATTTTTTTTCTGACAGTTGGTGGATAAGTCTAGGTTTATTATCTGTTCCACTGGTCCTCCTATAGTACATTCCTCGGGCCATTCAAAGGCTTCTGCCTCCCTACGAAGACCATTACAGGTGGTCCTCCTTTAGCAACTGCCTTGTTTGGCAACCATTTGCAATGGCTGACAGTGCTGAAAAGGTAACTTTACAAGCAATCCTTGCATTTCTGCAAAGAAAAGCTGAAGTCAGACTGTAAGGACTATTTCACTTACCAACTACTTAGCTTAAGAAGCTAAGCTTTTTTTTTAGTTTTGAAAGAACCTGATTTGTCCTGATGGCCAGTACAGATAAAAGTGATGTCCCACGATTTCAAACTTCTGTTGATGCAGCTTAAAAATGTGCTTGATATGGTTCACTCATATTCTCTGGGAAGATTACATGGAAACTTTTTACAAACAAGACTACAGCAAGGTCTGCAGACAGAAAATATATTCAGAAACCAACATGGCTCAAAGAAAAGTATAATAAGCAATAAGCTACAAATAAGAAAGCACCAGGTATAGGTAATTTCCTCCAAAAAATACCCACCGGTGATGAAAGCTGCACAAAAGCATCAGTTAAGGTGCAAACAATCCAGTGTCAAGAAATATGGGACTACACTATGTAGCCTTCAGACCGGAAGAAAAGGGCCTTGCTAATGCTGTAAAAAAGCAGTTATAAAATAATGTCTGACTTATGTAAATGTTGCACATTTTTAAACAAATAATTTTTGGTCCAGATCCTACAAAGAAAGGTTGAAGAATATGTGGAGAGTGATGTTACAAATGAACAGATAGGCTTCAGAAAAGGCAGGCGGCTATAAGATTAGATAGTTATGACAGGTGCAATGGATAACGGAGATAGAAAAATGGAGAATGTGTGGCAGTTTATTTTGCATCATTAACTAAAGCAAGGCCATTGGATGAACTGTGCCAGAATGCAGAAGATTGAAACTAAAAATTGATATGCAGATAACAGCACTTTGTTAGCCAAGAAATAAAGACAACTTAGAAGAGTTAATTAATAAAAGTAAAAATGGAAAATGAAAATCTAGATTGTTAACCACTAAAAAATCAACCATTATCCTTTGTGAAGCATAACAGCATATTGTGTCTTGGGCTTAAAAATAAGAGGGACAGCTAGAAGAGGAGGAAGAAGGCAATGATAGACAAGAACACGGACACTGCAATAACAAAGATCAGAAGAACTGAAGCAATGCTTTTCCAATGGTAAACTATGATAAAACTAAGCATTTAGACAATAAGCAAAATAAGTTTCTATGTATATGATTATTAATGATCACTAATAGCAACTGCAGACAGACAGAATTGATCTGAAATAAAGGCTGACCAAGTTCTTGAGGTGAAGATCAGCAAGCAGAGACTCAAACTCTGGGCATGTGATGTGAAATGAATATGCTTGGCAAGGCTAAGAAGTATAACTGCCAACGCAAGAACACAACTGATGTTGATGAATGGGATCAGATACATTATTAGAATCACCTTGGAAGAGCTATCAATTACAACTGAGCTCAAGATTGTAAGCATTCCTCCATGGCACCATTTTTCCCCAGAAGTATTGACAAGCCGTATCTCTGATCCTGTATTTTGCATTTGTTTCTTGAATAAAGCACTAGTTTGTCTCCATTAAATTTCAATGTTATTTCAGTTATTTCTGTAACTTATCAAGATGATTTTGAATTTTGTTTCCTAGTCTCTTACCTGTCCCACCCAGTTTTGTGCCAGATGCATACAGTATTTAAAAAACATTTTCTCCACCACTGAACCTTGTGGCATCCCATTCAGTATTGTATTCCTTCGTTGCCTGAGGAAGGACTGATCAATTGTTTCTTGAGTCGAGTTTTGAGGACTGCGTACAATTGTGTAACAAGCATGTCACCCAACTTAACTAACCTGCTAATCACAATGTTCTCTCCACAAAGGGGAGAATTTTGCAATGTTGGAAGAGCGATGAAGTCTGGTTAACAGGCAGCTTGGATAACACCTACATTTTTTGGTAACCTGATGCCTTCCAGGGTGTTAAAACGTTTTCCCTATTTGTATGGCCCAAGCTGAAGATGGGAAAAGTTGTAAACACACCTAGAAAAAAATCAGGGAAGAATCAGGGCATCCACCCTGTTGGAAAGACAGTGGAGGATCTTCCTCACTGCTTAGTCACCTGCCTCTTGATGGCTCTGGCTTTCAAGAGCCACCCCTTCTCCCCAGCCCCTCCTGCTGCTGCTTCAGCCAATGGTGCCCTCGCCTTCCAGCCCTGCCGCATGTTTGCCATTTCCCATGGAAACAGTTGCTATGGCAGCACAAGTGGGGAATTCCAGCTTTTGGTCCTCAGCATCATCACAGCTTCTGGCAACTGCAGCTTGTGAGCTTCTTAAAGCCTGCATGAAAGGACTCACACTGGGGGGGCTACGCTCTGCTACTCTATTCTGCCAGACTGGAGTCCCAGCTACTGGAAGTAAGACTGGGGATCTATCAGCCATGTTAATGAATTCTCTCTCTGGGTTTGTAAGGGCAACCTGAACTATAGACGCCAGCAGGAAATATGCCTGTGCCTTCAGCTGCCTGAATGCAGGTAATCCTTCACTTATGGCCACAACTGTGGCCAGCCACTAAGTGATGTGGTTGATAAGCTGTGGCCGATTTCATTAACTTTTTTGTCATGGTCATTGAATCTGGCTACCTCCATTGACTTTATTTTTGGAAGCCCCCAGAAAAATTGTAGATAGCAACTGTGACCCCCTGAATGCTGCAATCATTACAAATACATGCAGGTTATGAAATGCCCAAATTTTGATCAGGTGCCTACAATGGTCGTAAGTGTGAGCTCTGGTTACAAGTCACAATTTTTCACTGAGGTTATAATTTCAAATAGTCATTAAATGAATTGTCGAACTACTTGTATAGGCGGAATAGGTTTTTCTGCCACACGAGAAAGGCCAGGTGTCCTGGGAGGAACCAGGCTAGGAATGGCTCGCTCTCTTTCCCTCCTTTGCCACCCAAACACCCAGGAAATACAGGAAGGACGTTGGAAAAGCCAGGAAGCTCACGGCTGCTCCAAACACTGAGCCCTCTGTTATCCCCCCGGAGCACAGCTGGGCTGGAAGGAGGCGGGGGTTGGAGGAGATGGAACCACAAGGAAGCAGAAAAGGCCAGATAGGATTCTCAGAATTTCTTGACTTTGTCGCTTGCAACCTGTGAGGCTTTTTGATGACTTTTTGATAGGTGAGACGAGGACGACCAGGAGCTAGCTAGGTATTCCAAGAGTTGTAGTCCCACACACCCAGAGGGCCCTGGGCTGCGGAAGGCTGCTAGAACCGCTGCAGAGAACGTTGTCCTTCTCTTTCCAGCAGGCCCTCTTGAGGTGGAGATGGCTTTTCTCTCGGTCAGCAAATGTATCACCAAGACAAAGTTTGAAGGGGGTCTTTGGTTTCACAGCTTGACCATGACACCACCACAGAACACAAGGCTGGGGGGTGGAGTGGGTTTTTGATGGGCTTTCCTGGCATTTAGGAGCAGAAGTTTCCAACTTTCAGATGCTGCCACATAGAAAGTATTTTGCCTTTGTTTAGAGGTGCTTCCAATGAATGCCCAACCCTTAAAGCCACTGTTGGGATTTAAGCAAAGCTGTAGCAAATTAAGGACAGCGTGCTACTTGAGCGGCGTGATGGCCTGGAGGTGGAGCTCTTGCCTTACAATGAGGAGGCTGTGAGCTCAATCCTAGGTTGCAGCAGATGTTTCTGGTGCAAAAAGAAAATATCTGCTACTACCCAGGATATCTGCTGTGAACACCAGGAAGGCGTCAGGGAAGGGCATCCAGCCAGTAAATGCTCAGCTCCATTCAGTTGTCCTGACTCCACCCTGATGAGGCACTTACAGGGGCCTTAAAAGGAAGGGTCAGGGTAAACAGTAAATGCTGCTACTATAGGGGACATCTATATTCCAAAGCACCAAAAGGCAATAAATGGTTGGAAACTAACCAAGGAGAAATTTCCTGACAATGAGAACAATTCATCGGTGGAACGACTTGACCCCTGAAGTTGTGGGTGCTCCATCAACTGTGGAGGCTTTTAAGGAGGCCGGAGAGCCATCTGTCCAGAATGTTAGGGTCTCCTGTTTGGGCAGGGGGGTAGATTAGAAGACTCCATTGTTCTGTGTTCTATGAATCGTGAGCCAAACAATTGGAAACTTTTCTCTTGGTGAGAATCATAATCAAAAGGCTTGGAATTAGTTTTTCACCCATAATTAAACTTCCTGCTTAAAAGATTGTCCCTTTCAATTTTAGCGTCTGGGCGCCTCTCTGCCAGCCCCGACTCTGGCATCGCTCCTTTCTGCACAAAAGCCCAGGGACAAGATCAAGTCACCCAATGGCTCAGGCCCAGCCCTGACAGCTACTTTATTGAGGCTGCACAGCAGTCCTGGAGAAAGGAAAACAAACGAGTGGAAATCGGCAACCACCCCGGTTGAGAGGCGGGACGAGGTAGGTGGTGCTTGGCTTTGTGCCTTCAATCTTTGAGGGAGGAAGGAAGGGAGGAAGGGTCCATGAAGTGCAAAGAAAAAATAAAGTGTTGGCCTCAGAAAGGGAAAGGCTTCAAATGCCTGTGACTAAAAACTTTTAGATCCCTGTCTGTGAAGAGCGTAAAATAGGCCTTTCCTCTTGAAGTGCCGGAGGTCCATTTTAGCTGCCAGGATGAGAATCCCTTGTTCCAGGCGTTCAAAGCCAGCTTCCTAGGAGAGTCCCTGTATGGACTTGCCTACTGGAAGCCTCTGCAGCCTGGTGGATGAAAGAGATCTTCCCACCCAGGAGTCTCCAGCCCAGAGAGAAGCCAGATGGGCAGGAGGCAAAGAGCGGGCCCAGCGTTAGAGGCTCCGTTGCATGGCAGCCTCAGACGCATGTGGGGGACAGCACTGAGAGGTCATCTATCTGGAACCCTGGAAATCATCAGGAGAAAAGGCACCCCCCCAGCGGTCAAGTGGGAGACCCTCCTCTCCTAACTGCTACAAATTCCCTTTTTGAAAGATTACAAATCACTGATGTCATAATGAAAGCGCTCTGCCCCTCAAGCCTGCGGTGACATTTTATTCTTGTCTTCCTGATTTGCTTTTCTTTAAAAACAGGATTTCCCCCCTTGGTGCAATGTTGGAGAGAACCCCAACTTCTGGCGATTTCCTTCCCTCTTTGGACGAGGCCTTCCATCCCACCCCCACCCTCTGTTCCAAGAGCAAAGCTGGGGGGTGGGGGGCAGTTGTTGGACCTGACGTGCTCGATGCAGTCCTGGGCTGTCTGCTGGCTGGAATCACCCGGCTGGAATGAAGACAAATACAGAGAAGAGAAACAATCCTTAAAAACTCATATAACAAGCCAGACTTCAGAGCAGGCAGGCAGGCAGGCGGGAGAGACGTGCAGCTTAGAGGCGAAGCAGACGCTTGCGTAGTAGCTCTGTTCTTCCCAAACAGTGAGGCCCTGCCTGCTCTTCCATTTATCTCAGGGCGCCTCGTAACGCACACAGCAAGCAATTGGCAGCAAGGATGTCGGGGAGGGGGTCACTAAGCTGCCATTTGGCTGAACAGCCCCAGCTCCCGCTTTGCCATGAATTATAGCACAGCCTTTATTTGGCAAAAAAAATGGCATTTATGCTCAACAGAGGCCTCCTCAGAATCCTGGCCAGGAGGGCAACAAGGCAATAACCGCCTTTCTCTCTCTCTCTCTAATCTAATATGGCCTGCCAGCAAGTTGGGACTGCAATTCCCAGTGTTGCCAAAGTTACCAAGACCTGGGAACCTGGAGCCTCAAAACTTCCAGAGGGACCCAAGTTGGGGAAGAGGTCCTCCTGCGAGCTCTGCTTCGTTGCACCGGCCTCCTAGCAACAACAGGTGTTGCCTTCACTCCCAGAGACCAAGGCAAGGGCCGAGAGAAGGCAGCACTTGCTCCTCGCATCACATGGGCTTCCTCCTCCCTGGGGGCAGGGGAACCTTTCCCAAGGTAGACATCCTGGGGACCAGGTCACTTTAAACGATTGAAGGCTCTCTTCTTCAAAGACTGCTGCTTACTCACCCGAAATGTAAATGTTCTTTAAAAGCTCAGAGAAAAGCAAAAATAAAATTGGGAGTAGAAATTTTGAAGTGTTTTGATTATCTTAATCAGCTGCCTTTGGTCCCCAAATCATAGCCACCTTGAACATCTGTGGGGAATGGAATATCTGCCAGTTCACTATTCTGGGAGCCGGAACCCTTAAGATGCACAAGATAGCTTTATATATTGATTATATTAATTTATGTGGCCATCCATCACACCTGCAATTGTAAAGTTGTGAATGTTCACCAATGTGCAAATATGTCGCTAAAGCAAGTAATTTCTAGTAGCCATGTTAATTCACTGCCTTCTTTTCTTTGAAAGGCTGCAGAACAGGTCTCTGTGACCTGTTATGTTTGTGGCGCTGCACCTGCCCCGCAAGAGATGGGCTTTTGTGGCTTTTGCTGCTGAGAATTCCTCAAAGGGAGAAATTTACCCTTGGAGAAGCATAGAAACAGGAGGAAGCAGGAGGAAAAAAGAAAGGAAGACAAGGGAAACACAGGTCAGCCAAGAGAGAAATGCTTCTTCCGCTTCTCCGTCCTCCTAAAACCTGGCTGCCCGTCTGACCCCCAACAGCAGCCACAGAGCCAACCAGCTGCTAACCATCCTCTCAGGCAGCCTGAAGTACAGGGAAGCCAAGGAACACTGCACCAAACCAGCCCAACAAGGACCTCCAAGAGGGAGGCAGAGTGCAGGATCTCCCTCCCTGCTTGTTCACAGATGCTGCCAGGCTGGGCCATGAGGAACTGGAGCACCTCTCAAGGCCCAGGCTGGCTCAAGGGCAGCGGAGGCTCTTAGCCAAAAATCCCAAGAGGCAAAAACAGAAAAGGGAAAAGGGTCTGTTTGGCCCACCCAACCAAAGGGCATTAGGCAGGCAGCCAGCAGCCATTCCGTTCCAGGGCCAGCTGTGGCACACCAGAATGGGGGCCCAAGAGGCTCAACCAAAGACCCAAGTAGGAAGACCGGCCAGTGCTGTGGTTTTGACCCCCGTGGCACGGCCACTTGGCCTCGATGCAGCTCAGAAACCATGAGCCAGCTTTCTTGCACTGGTTAAGTCAGAGGTCCCCAATGTTGGCCACTTTAAGACTGACGGATTTCAACTCCCAGATGCTGGCTGGAGAATTCTGGGAGTTGAAATCCACCAGTCTTAAAGTGGCCAACATTGGGGACCCCTGGGTTATGTGATGACGTCACATAACCAATGTGGAATTCCCAGATTGATCATTGACCTCAGAAACTGTCCTTCTTCACAGGAATTCCACATGAAGAAAATCTGAACTCTCCACCCTAAAGAAACTGTCCAGACTGGGCAATTTTGCACCAACTTCCCCATTTTACTTTGCTCTTCAAGCCCTTAGAAATGTTACCACCCACTTCCCATCTCCAAGTCCCTTCTTCTAAAGAACCATAACCGCATGCATTTTTATTTCTTAAAAAAATGAGATAGATAAAGCAGCCTCTGAATTCTGGGCTGCCTACAAAACATCTTCCTTTCATCTCCAGCTTATGATTGCGTGGGACAAACGCTGCTGCCCTGGGGCATCTTATGCCATGCCAGTTAGTTCCACTTGGCCCAGGCAGAAAAGGAGAAGAATTCAAACCTCAGTGAATCACACAAGCGAACAAATCTGCTTCCATAGCCTCCCTCTTAAGCTGAGGCAGCCTTCCATGCTTGTAGTTGGAGCCGGGACTCGTGGCCAGCCACTTTCCTTCCGCTCCTACTGAGGTGGGGCTTTCAGGACTGCTGTAAAGGTGGGTCCGTAGGCGGAAAAGCAGAAACTGCAGCCATTTCCTGATTTAACCAATTCTGCACCTATGTCAAGTGCCTTTGCCTGCACAGGTTTCCAGTCTCTAGGCGGCCTGAAGTGCAGTGCGCCCCCTGCTGGCCAACCGCGCACACACACACACACAGCCCAGAGTTCCCGTATATTAAAAGAAGAAATATACATTACAAATGAAGAGTCACATGTTTGTTTAATGGACTGCTTGTACAGCCTTTCTCCACAACTGCTTTGCTCCTACTCCCACGGCATTCTTTCTTGCTGACCCCAGAGGACAGGAAAGGAGGAGAGAGGAGGAGGAGAGCCTTATATGAACATAACCAGGTCTTTACTTGTTGCTTTTGAGAAAGCTGCCAGGATGCTGGCAAAAACCACATCTGGAGACTGGGAGGCATCAATAGCTGTATGGATTCCACGCCGGGAGTAGTAGTCCACCAGCGGTGTGGTCTGGGTGTGATAAGCCTTCAGGCGTGTTTTCAGCGCGGCTTCGTTGTCATCTGACCGGCGGATCAGAGATTCCCCAGTGACCTGGAAAGGGAGCAATTTGTCAGCCTGGGCACCAGCCAAGGACCCGCCTGAGCTGGAGAAGCCTCGTAGCCGACCCTTCGCGACATGGACCTCAAGCCACCCCAAGCAGTTGAAGGTGCAAAGCTCCACTGAGCTGTTGTCCAGGCTGATGAGACGATCCCCAAGCGCTGCGGCCCTCTTTTCCTGCACCAAAATTGAGCTGTCTATGTAAAAATCACATCTGTCTCATACACCAATTGCGTCTTGCTTTTCAAAATTAATGACTTATTTTGAATATTCATCCTGATTTTGCTAATCATCATTGGGGATCGAAAGGTAATGGCAGATTACCAAATACTCTACATCAGTGTCTCACAAACTTAGTAACCTTACAATCTGTGGACTTCAAGTCCCAGCATTCCCCAACCACAAGACTTACTGTACATTGTAATTTCTGCCCAATCCCAATTTCATAGCATCTGCATTTCCAAGGATTTCTTCAAAATCACCCAGGGAATACTCAGTTACTTTACGTGTTTGCCTCCTCCACAGCAAGAAAAGGTTGAAGTGACTCTCTTTTGACATGGATCACTACCCCAGTTTGAAAAGAATTGCCAATCAATGTTACTGCACAAGTCACCCCCATTGTAGCATCTATTCAAAAGCTATCAATCTGTGAGAATTGCCTCTCGGTTTTGAATGATTCATTCAAAGCAATGAAGATGGAAATCTTAAGCCCACCAGCACCCACAGATACCACAAGGCTTTATATCAACTAGAAGCATTTTAATACAAACCCCCAAAGGGAGAGACACCTACATCATCCTTCATATGGACCTTGGGTGGGTTGAATTCCTCGTGGTAGGAACGGCCACTTCCTGGGTGGATTAGCCTGGGAGGGAAACACAGAAAAGCCTCACCCATCTTCCATCTGCAGCAACTGCATGGGGCAAAGCTAGTCTACAAGCTTGGCGGATTTGCAAGGAAAGAATTTTTCCATAAATGAAAAGGAAACAGAAGGGTACAAAGAGGGAATAATACGTTGGGGACATCACTGCAGCTCTGGTAAAATTCAGGCAGTGATGGCCACTGAGAATGGAGAATTTTCTTTGAGCAGACACTCAAACACACACATACGCACCACTTGCATTGGCAGCATAGGTTTCCCCAGGTAAGGTTGGAGGTATTTCCTATTCAGTTACTGACCACATCGGGTTGATCTCTTCCCCTTGTGCTACAAAATAGGCTTCTTCTAAATGGGCAAACTTTCCTTTACAAGAAATTTCCACCCACTCTGCTCCTGGCTTTGTAGGACCACTACCATCCCATCACTCACCTGGCAAGAGGAAAGGGAACCTACCCAAGCTGCCCAAGACAGCAACATCCCCCAAGGAAAACGACAGTTACCGTCCAGTGATTCTCCGGATGAGCAAGGAGTCAGCAAGGCTGAATTCAATGACCGCATCTAGTTTCTCTTTCCTCTTCACCATCAGCTCATCCAGCTGTAAAATTGTGAAAAGGAGGCAAAACCAGTGAGCTAATTGGCACCGAGGCTCTCAGATTCTCTTCTGGATCAAGGCAGACATGTGCAGCCAGCAACCGTGTGTGTGTGTGTGTGTGTGTGTGTGTGTGTGTGTGTGTGTCAAAGGCCGAGCACGTTCCCTTCGTGGCACTTCTGACAGGACCGAGGCTCCCTCCTCCCCGGATGGGCCTCCTTGAAGTCCTGGCCGTCCACTTTGCACCGGGCACAAGTGACGTCTGAGCCCAAGGAGAGCACTTACCATCTCCGCTTGTCGCACAGTGCGAGGGAAGCCATCCAAGAGGAAGCCATTTTTGCAAGGGGGGGTCTCCAGGTTCTTCTCAATCAGCTCCATCACCATCTCATCACTCACCTGATAAAAGAGAAAAGGGGACCCACTGGATGCAGCAGCAGCTGCGGATCTACTCAAACCCGCTAGAAAACTGTGCTTGTGAGTGATCCTGGCCATCACTGGCCTTCGTGGCCAGATTCTGTTCTCCACCCGTGGCCTTTTGCCAAGGGACCAACTTTCAAGGTTCAGGTCACTCAGATTTCTGATGTGCTGACTCTACAGTGTGTTTCTGTCCCGGACTTCAAAACTGCTGCCGTTCTTCCCCATGGAACTGAGCCAATGCAGAAATGGCCCCCTTATCAGAAAAGGGGCTCCGGGGCTTAGATGTGCCCCAGTTCAGCCCCCCCTCAGAAGCTCTCCAGGACGGACAGGCAGCTGCACCTCCCAAACCTGATGTAGTCCACCCACCCACATCAGCCACTTTCTAATGATGATACACTGACACTTTCAAATGAAGGTCATAAATAAGAAACAGCCATTACAGGCTTCCTGCAAAACCCTGTAAGAAATATTGCAGAGATACTTCACATGAAAAAAAAAAAAACAAAGGCCGTGTTTAAAAGCAAGAAGTGTTTATGCTGGAGGTGATCTCCCTTCCATGGATTATTCCTCATACCTCTACACCCTCTGCCTTTACAGATAGGCTTCATTTAACAAACACTCACTCAGCGACTATTTGAAATTAAGCAGCACTAAACAGGGAGATGGATTGTCTGGTCCCCGTAAGTTGCAGCTGTTGCAGGGCCCTCATCATCAATCGCCAATTGTGACGGGACCTTGGCAACAGCTCGCAATTATGAGGGTCACAGTGTCCTGCCACTGGCAACTTCCACCGCTAGCTTCCCTCAGTCAATTCAGGTGGCAAATGGCATCTCATGAGGACAGGCGTAAGGATGTCAACCACAACTGCCGCAGCTGCTGCCCTAAGTTGGCACGGCCACATAACGCTGGGGTTGCCCGTCCCAAATGCTGTCATTAAATGAAAATAACCTGCACTGCAGGCTCTAAATGGAGAAGGAAATGTAGAAAACAATATTACATTTCCAGAGTTGGGATGGCTAAAAATATATCCCCTAAAATAGAAAAGCAGTATAATTAGGGTTTTCAAGTCCCACTCCATTTTCTTAATCGATTTTATGATTAGTGACCTGGATCCTCTCCATAGAAAGGCCACAACGACCTTGCTCAACCTGCCTGCAAGGGGGGGGGGAAGGGGGGGCTGATTTCCAACGTTTCCAAAGCCTTCAATTCAAGGAGCAGAGGACACTCCTGGAACAGAGCAAGCCAACATCCCACCCCACCCCACCTCAGGCCCCTTCCGGAGTTGGACCTGATGGGATTCTGGCCCATTCAGAGGCATCTGGAGAAGCCATGGCTTCCACGCATCAGGTCCCCCTGCAATGAGATCGCGATGCTGCTCCCTGGCCGGCAAGTCCCCATCGTTACTTGGGGGACATTGTGACGGGACAGGAATCTCAACATTCGGCAGACCGAGGGTGGTTCTTCTTGAACTTCTGGAAAGCGCAGCCCCAAAACTACCCCGGGGGAGCCCCTCTTCCCACTCACCAGCTTCCCTGCATCCATTGTCGCCTTCAGCCTCTTCCCCAGCTCTGAGCCCGAAGCCACCATCGCCCTCAACATGTCCCCCGTGGCCAGGTGGCACACACAGTACGTTTCTGCGAGCCGAGGAGCCTGGACAAGAGAGAAGAGTCAGCGGTTCCCATGGCGGTTACCCACAGGCAGCCTCAGCTTACAGCCGTAATTGAACGTGCAATTTTGGTCGTAAGTCATGACGGTTAGGTTACCACATAACTGTGCCCAATTTAAAAATCTTTATTATGAAGCGAACTCCATGGTTCAGGGTGGGGCCGTTTTTGCTGAAAACAAGAGGTGAATCAACAGAAGTTTAATCAGAGCTGCAAGGGACCCCGGCAGTCTTCTGATTCAACCCTCTGCTCAGGCAAGAGAACCTACACCAGTGAGGGCAAACCTTTCTGGCACCAAGTGCCCAAAGTGCACCCAATGCGCATACCCAAAATGCAATGCACGTGTGCCACCCTGCATTCACCCCCTGCACATGCGCGGCAGACCCGAAGTCCAGCCGGCTGGTGGGAGTTGTGCACACATGTGCGGCAGAGCTGGGGCCATGGCACGCATGTCATAGGTTCACCACCAAGGCACTAGACCATTTCAGACAAACGTCTGTCCTTAAAACCCTCCAGTGATGGAGCACCCACAACTTCTGGTTCATTGTTCTCAGTGTTAGAAAATTTCTCCTTAATTCCAGATTGCCTCTCTCGATTAGTTTCCATCCTGTTAAGGTACTGGGAGATTTAATAGCTGACCAGCTGTTGTAAGGCTGCTGTAAATGCTGATGTAATGAGAATGAGTCAGCAGGGTATTGCCGCTTTAAGAGTGAGGTTGGGTCAGCAGGGTTATTGCCACTTTAAGATGTCTATATAAAGGTGGCCATGAGAGGGCATCCCTCTCTCTCTCTCTCTCTCTCTCTTCTATCTCCATTATAGTTCTCAGTGCAGAGTAATAAAGACTGATTGCCTCGTATGTGCCTAACACATATGTATGTATATAGCAGTCTTGTATATAAACCAGTGTTAAAAGACAAAGCCTCCGTGTGCTGTGTTGTGCTCCTGGGTTGTCTCACAATAGTAGTCACGCTGCAAACACTCTGACACACCCATTGTTTCTTGTCCTGCTCTCTGCTGCTTTGTAAAATAAATTGACCCCCTCAAATATTGGAAGATGCTATCATGTCACCCCTAGTCCTTCTTTTCTCTAAACTAGACAGACATACCCAATTCTTGGAAACATTCTTCCTATGCTTTAGCCTCCAGACCTTAAACCATCTTTATTGTTCTACTCTATACTCTTTCTAGAGTCTCAATACCTTTTTAAATCATGGTGACCAACACTGGGTACAATATTCCAACTGTGGTCTTACCAAGGGATTATTGAGTGGCACTAACATTTCACGTGACTGGGATTCTATCCCTGTTAATGCAGCCTAGGACTCTGTTGGCTTTTTGGCTGCTGCCCAAGACATCCGTCTATTGAACCAGGTACCACATGTTCTATATCTGTATATTTGGTTTTTGTTACCTAAGTATAAAATCTTACTTTTCTCACCACTGAATTCCATTTATTTAGAGGGCCCAGAAACCAACTCTATCGAGATCTTTTTGCATCCTGAGCTGGTCTTCTGGGGTGCTGCCTATTCCTGCCAGCTTGGTGTCAATTGCAAACGTAATGAATTCCCCTTCTATTACCTCATCTAAGTCATTTTTGAAAATATTGAAGAACACTGGGCCTAAGACAGTCCCCCACTGCTTACTTCCCTCCATGTACATGTAGTTCTATTAAGCCGTAAATTCAGGCTGGTTACCTAAAATACAGTAATGTGACCACAGGCGGAGGTGGGGGGTTGGGAGGGAGGGGAGGGAGCAAGTTCAAATCCAGGTCTCAAGTCGCTTTTTCAGGTCCATTGTAACTTTGAAATCAGTTTTAAGTCAGAACTACCTGTACTCCTATTGTGCTTTAGTTTTTGTAGCAAATGGAGCTATACATTGTTGAACTAAATATATGGTTTCTTGATTTAATATGAGGAAATAAATATCCAAGGAAGTATAAAGCTTTGCTTGACCAGTCAGCCAGGAGGTTCAATAATAGAGCATTCTGTCAAAAGTCTTCAAGAAGTTCTGAGGGATATAAATTTACTCCCCCTTCCCGGTCCTTAGCAGGTCAGGACAATGAAGTACAGATAGTCCTTTACAAATGCAATGGAGCCTGCCGACGACATTAGTAATCCAGGGATTACGTTGGAGTGAATTGCATAAAATGAACGTGAAAACTCCCTGCATTCGCTAACTGAATTCACAGGTAGCTAATTGCACATGAAATATCTCAAGGTGGGGAAGGCGGGGGTGTGTGTGTGTGCCAGTGATGGAACAGGCCACCTGCTTACAGCTCACCCACTGATTGTGGGTGCTCCCCACAATTGTTTTCTCCTCCCCCTGGCCAATCCTGCCACTCTGGGTCACTCTTTGCTCCTGCGAAGATCTAGCGAACTGTCCCTTCTCCAGCCTCTGCCGGGTAAAAGCACAACCCCCAGAAGCTTCCAGCCTCGGCGCACAAAAAGTTTGCATGCCGACAGGTGACTTTGGGCAGTGCGAAACCTCACAGCGGCCTGCAAACAGTTTGGGCAAAAAAACTGGAAGCTTCTGGGGGCTGTGATCTCGTGGCGACTTCAGGCACTCGTTATCTGCAAAAGCAGATGGGTGCCTGAAGTTGCGCAAGATCACAGCCACCAGAAGCTTCCAGTCTTGGAACCCAAACTGTTTGCCAAGCCAATGGGGGGCTTTGGGACAGCAAAATTGTGCTGCCTCAAAACGTCCCATCAGCTGGCAAACACTTCGGCAAAGGGTTGTCAAAGCCTACAGAGTGTTTTTGTGTCCCCATCCATCTCTGCAAAAAGCCTTTGCCAGCAAGAATGAAGCCCAGGCCTCAATCTGCAGAGAACAGAGGCCTAAAGATGTGCAAAATCACACAAGATCAGTAGCACGACATCTTGCACTACGGATCTTGCGGTACTTTAGGCCTCTGTTCTCTGCAAACGCTCAGAAGTAGGCAAAGAAACTGCGGCAGAGAGGAGGCAGCTCGTGCCTCTGCGGTCTTTTGTAAGGGTGAATGACCATTGTAGTATTGCAGCCTTTGTAACCTCAGGGCTGTGTCGTAAGAACTGCAGGCGGGCTATGTCGCAACTTAAGCGAACTGTTGTAACTCGAGAGTGACTGTATGCTGTCCCCCACCCCCACCAGATTTGGGGGCAAGGAAATCAGACGCTGCCACCTCCTTTGCTTTGCACTGCTTGCCCATCCCCAAGCATGGGATCCTTCAGCATCTGAAGCTGGGCTGGGGCCGAAGGGCGGGTCTGGGAGCCTGTGCATCCCCGCCATGCCCAGCCGTGCTCCAGGGCAACCTTGCCCAACTTTCAAGAGCTCTCTTGTCCCTGAAGAGATCTTGCTGAGATGGGCAAAAGAAGCCTGTTTTGCAAGAGACGCCGGGTTGCCCTGCCTGCCAGGACAAAGGGCAGGCGCTTCACTTGGGAGAGGCCTCCCCAGGAGCAGCTCTGCCCACAAAATGCCACTGCAGACTTGAGCTCAGGGCAAACACTTGTAAGACGGTGAACTGAAGAAGACATTTTTATTCTGCTCTTTAAAATTAAATTTTCACAGAGAGAATATTAAATGGAACAGCATTTAAGGTTTGTCAGGATGTTTAGAAGGAAACGCCCGTATAAGCTTAGAGGCTTGAACATCACTTTTGTTCACCCCTTCCAACTGAGGGGGAGGGAAATGCTTCCAAACCACTGAATATTGGAGTCTTCCTCTTTGTTTCCTGGAGTCCAAACTCGCTTTCATCTCAAAATGCTGCTCGCCCTCAATCAGAAGAGGAACTGGAGGGGCAAGTGGGACGTATGTTCAGGTTTCAGCAAACTGACCTGGAAGACGGGGTGGATCCTCCTAAGGGTTTTTGGCAATTGTAATTGCACCACAACCCTGTCTGGAATTATCCGCCATGGTCTAGGCCAGGGGTCTCCGACCTTGGCCCCTTTAAAACTTGGGGACTTCAACTCCCAGAATGCCTCAGCCAGCAGAGCTGATCCATGGCTCCCAGCAAAGCTGGCTGAGGCATTCTGGGAATTGCAGTCCACCAGCCTCAAAAGGGCCACGGTTGGAGACCCCTGGCCTATGCCGCCGTTTCTCAACCCCGGGCATTTTAAGACACCTGGATTTCCACCCCCAGAATCCCCCCAGCCAGCACGAGAAACACACCAGCGCAGGCCCAAAATCACCCCCCACCCCCACCTTTTTCGAGCAACCGGGGCGGCGAGAGCTCCCGGCCGGCCAAAAGATCGGCTCCCTCGCAGGAGGGACCGGACCGGGGATTCCGCTGAGGTGGCGGCTGCCGGCGGGTCTCTGCCAAGGCGGGTCGGGGAACGCCAGCCCGCTCCCCCTGCGACGCAGCAGAGGCGCCGTGAGGCCTCCCCCGACCGGCCCGCTCACCTGAGTGCCCTTCCCTGCCCCGGGCGGCCCCAGGAGCAGCGCCCGGACGCCCTTGCGGGCTCCGCGTCCCACCGTGTCTTGCCCGCCTTCCGCGTTCGGAGCCATCACGCCGCTCGGCACCTCCTGCGCAGGCGCCCGACTCAGCAGCCGCGTGCCTGGCCATTGGGCCGACGGCCCGTCCCACAGGTGGCGTCGGCGGCTTTCGCCCAATCACCTCAGTACGACGGCGGGAGGTTGCCTATGATTGGGCGCCATCTCCTCAAAAAGCATGCGGGATACATTGCGTCTGCGTACTCTGCTCGCGGCAAGGAGGGGCGCTTTCATGTGGGCTGCATGGCCATTGATTGGCGCAACGGAAATATATGCAAATATTATAATCTCGGAGAATGGGAGTAGGTGGAGCTCCGGGCGGAGTCAACGGATCCGGGCAGCGTTTGGGGGGAATTCTGGGAGTTGAAGTCCACTCAAAGTCGCTAAGTTTGAGAAGCGGCGTTTAATTCCTTGATCTACCCCTGTTGAGTTCAACCGTCCAAATGCTTCCTCCAGCGTGCTTCCTCTAAGCCAGGGGTCTCCAAACTTGGCCGCTTTAAGACTTGTGTGACTTCAACTCCCAGGATTCTCCAGCCCAGCTACGCTAGGATAGAGAAGCCACAACCTGTCTATCTACCAGCTCCCCGCAGAGCAGGGTGGTGGATTATGGGCCTTAACGTTCAGTGTTGTGATCCTGCAGCGGACTGATTTGGGCATAATACAGTCAGGTGTTTTATGTTAATGCAGTGAGGATGAAATCTCTTTGCAGTGCTTAATTAAGGCAGCATGTTTAGCATTATGGTTCAAAACAGCGAAATAGCTAAACACAACCCAGGGCCAAGCGTGAAAAGGTTACTTGCAGGCTAAAGTTTTCTCCTTGGAAATGTCTTCATTGGGTGTTGCTTTCTGTTCTATTGAAGTGGATCAAGTCTTTTTTCCCCAAAAAAGATTTGCTTCCTAAAAAACTTGTGGTGATGATGATAGACCCCTTCAAACTGATCATAAGTATAATGTCAAAATAACGGTTATTCTTGGAAGCATTGGTCTGAAATAAGGGAAACCTTTGTCTTTTTTTCACCAATTTTGCAAATGTTTTCATCATTCCTAGCTCTGTGTGAAGCTGAGGCAAAAATATGTTTGTCGGGTCAGTCAGTGGTTTATGGACCACATTTTTCTGTCCACATTCTTTTGGAGTGGCCATTTCTTTAACACTTGGGCAGGTCCCTTCCAACTCTGTTGATTTATTTATCTAATGTGACTCCCTTGCACGGCTCTCCCATCTGCATGTTCAACAACAGTATATCTGAATTACATTCCAAGCAGCAGAGCGGTTTCTTTCAGATTTCCACAAATATTCCACTGGGGGATATGCTTCAATGACAGCACTAAAGGGTACACGTTGCAGGAATGAAATCTCTATAAAACTTTTGTGAATACAGGTTATGGCAGGTTATTTTCGTGAGCCAAAAATCAATAAGATACACACAAAACTGTTCAGAGGAAGCCAATTTTTGTTGTCCAGCAATATCACTCTCGTAATATATAAAATCAAAATGACAGACATGACTAGGGAGAACTGCTGGTGGTTTTCCCTGGTAGTAAAAGAGCCTAATGGGGAAATCTGCTTCTGAGTGGTGTCCCAAACCTTATGGGAATCTCTGTGATCTCCACGAGCAAGGCCCACCCTTCATCTTTTTAGCTACTCTTGCCAAGGTTGCTTCTGAGGATGGCCAGAGAGCAGAGGACTCCTTCATCAGAGGGGTCTCTGCCCAGCGGAATCCAATTTGGATATGGGTGTGGCCATGCCTCTATCTGAAGGGTTCTGCCATCTTGTGTGGACAACTGGTTTAGGAAGAGCAATTTGCAAAAATCCTGTTTTCCACTGTACCTCTAGCCTGGGCGCTTCTGAAGCGAAAGCAAAGCTTTTACGTTTTGTGGGGTTTTTTTTTTCTCTTTTAAACAATGGCTTTCTTGCTTTTGGAAACATGCTTGTGCAGAACCTGACATTACTGTAGGGGAAGGTGAAAAAGGCATATAATCAGTAAGAAAGAGAAAGTAGCCATATAAAACGCACACAAAACATTCCATTTTAATATGCCGTGTCACGGAATGCATAAATGTATATAAAAAGTCCCTAAACTCTTTGTCTGGGCGTATCCGGTGCCAAGAGGGTGGCAGTTGTCCGGCTGACCGTAAATAAGTCCTTGTGCTGAGTGAGCGATCCTGTTTGGCGCCCTTCCTCAGGGAGACCCCTGATCTGCAACTGTCAGAGGGCAGCAACACATCTGGGCAGCCGCTTCCACCCCCAAGGAAAATCCTCCCCCCATCAGCCAGAAGCCTCTCCCTTCCAGGCATCTCTCCATCACTCCTGCTTTGTTTCTTTCCCCCTCAGCCAATTGGATTGCTGGGCTTGGTCACCATGGCGACTCTTGTGAGCAGAGATGGGGGGGGGGTCAAAATATAAGGGACCAGCATCTACCTAGAGCTGAAGATTAGCTGGTGCTGCTTTGCATGGTGTAGGCTTTGGAGGAGGAGGAGGAAGAGGAGGAGGAGCCACTGCCGAAGCCTATATTTACTCTTGGGAGACCCATGGGCAAAATCCGTTTAAATGCTTTTTAAGGTGGGTTGAAGGGAGGAGAGGGGTCAAGCAGTAGGCCTGGGGGGGGGGCTTGGGCTGTGGATTAGGGGAGAGGGAGCCTGGGGATTTCCTGATCCTCCTGCCCGTCTCTCATCTGCCCCTCTGCAGAGACCTCGGATCCCCAGCAGCAACTGCGCCTCGGGGTGTTGCAGAAGCTCAGAGTTCACCGGAGAACCCCCCTGGCATTACACCTAGCCACCTGGGAAGGAGGAAGGCTTCGGGACGGTGAGCCCCCCCCCCCCCGGGCAAGGACTGGTGGGGGGGGCAGGGAGGGGAAACACCCCCCCCCATAACATGGAAAGAGGCCAGGGGCAGCGGAGGTCCGCTCCCTCTTCTCTGACCCATTAAATGCTTTAATATGGGTTAACACCCCCCGCCCCCCTTCTCTGTCTGACATGTGGGGATACGCAAGAGAGGCTGGCAGGGGAGGCAGATCAAGGCCTGCGCTGGGGAGAATCTCACAAAAGCTCACTTTTTAAAAAGAAATGCCATAAGTATTTAAAGGACAGTAGCGATGCACACCAACAAATATAAACGGGCACTTTCTCAGATAACTTTTATCCAATTTTTTGTCCCATTTAAATCCCTATTAAGTTTTTTTCTTCCAGGGAGGGTGAATGGATGGTTGGGTGGGTGGGCAGACGGAACGGGGATTTCTACAAATGAGATGTTGCTGAGTCTCAGAGGGTCCCTTTCTCTTTGCAAATCCAAAATTCTCCCCTCAACTTACGCAGCAGCTCCTCTTCCTGTTGCGTTCCTTCGATGCTTCCCAGGACATGAAACAGGCTGGGCAAATGATCTTCTCCTCTTGTTCCCTTTTGCAAACCTGCTGGAGCAAAAACCAAAAAGTTAGAATCAATTTCCTTGCTTCTAGAATGTTTTCTAAACCCTCACCCGGGTGACCATTGATTCATATGTTTTTATTTTATTTGTATCCCACCTTTATTATTTTTTACAAATAAGTAGAGAGGGCAAATATATCCAACGCTCCTTCCTCCTCCCACTCTTCCCACAACAACAATCCTGTGAGGTAAGTTAGGCTGAGAACGAGAGACTGGCCCAAAGCCACCCAGCTGGCTTTCATGGCTAAGGCAGACCTATTCCTATCCAATAATTCATCAGTAAAAACAGGGACGCACACGCACACGCACACACACACACCAGATGCCAGGAGTACGAGCATTCTTACTCCAGAGGCACGTTCTAAGTTACCCTCACAATTTATCACTTCACTAAGAGTTCTGCCTCAATCTGAGTTTTTCCATGACCTTTTATTTTACACATATTAATCAGAAACAAGAGAAGCTGCTAATCAGCAATTACTGTGTCCCAAAGGCCCCAAGTGAATTTTGGTGCCAGGGGAAAGGTTGTGCATTTACCCAATGGCTAACAGAGGGCAGAGGGCTAGAGACGAAGCACAAACCGGGGATGTTGCTTTCTGCACGGACACTCCTTTTGTCCGCAGTTACAAACTTTCCCCACCCCATTATCTTCATCTAACAAGTTTCTGGAACAAAGTGACTGACTTTAGTGGCCCAATGGGGCTCGTCAGCCCTGCCATCCCACTTAAGAAAGCGCCATTAAACAAAAGGGCAAGCGATGTGCAAAGCGTCCAGCCACATTTACCCTCTTTATAGGTGTGGGAGAAAGCAGCATGCTGGCATTTTGCATTTCAGCAAGCAAAAGAAAAATGTCACCATCTGGATCTGATCAGAGGATGTAAAAGTAGAGCAGATGTTGCAAATACAGTGACTTAGTTTCAGGTCAGCCTCATCTGCTGGACCTGTAAGAATCAGAGTCTGCACCCAGGCCTCATAGCAGTCACTGAAAGGTCTTTTCCTGTACAGGTAGATATATTGATCAGGAGCCTGGTAGCACCGTTCCCAACTAACTACTTTTGTTAAAAGCTTTCCAAAATCCTCCTCATCATAGTTGGCCAGCAGATCTTCAGACTTTCTGGACACCTTTTCCTACCTGAAATATTTTGCTGTCCTTTGCATCAAGGTTGGAGAAAGAGATCCATGAGCCTCGGTGAGCTCCTGCCAGGTTCAGGAAGGGGGACCCTTTCTAACCTACTGCGTAAACCACCCAGCACCTGGCAGAAGAGCCACTGCTGTGAAATAGCTGTTTGCCATCTCAGATGGTGGAGAAGGAGCTTCCTGATGTTGTCTCTTTCCCTCCACAGTGTGTTGCATACTTAAAAACTATTCCCCCGCTACTGACGGAGGCTTTCAAAGAAAGATCCTCCTTTGGTGGTAGCAATGACCAGGTACCTGGATGAATCGGATGTCATGATGGTGGAGGAGGGCTTCACCACTAGGGATCTCCTGGAGAGTCTCCTCCTCAAAGTTGCCCAGATGGTGAGGACCAAGAGAATGGGCTTTCCATGCATGGAGGATGGAGGCAGGGTGGGTGGGTGCATATCATCCCAGCAGAGGTGGGATTCAGCAGGTTCTGACCAGTTCTGGAGA